TAGTTTCATGCATTGTGATTATATAAATGTCATAGACTTGATGATTTTTTTGGAGGCTTGTAAGGATATGAGATGTGTGATGGCTAGGGCTTGGCTCTAGTATGGAGATAAGAATCTTCTAAGTCATAAGTGCGCACTTGGTAGTTCCTTGTGGGTCGTAATTACCCTGAATAACTTGTATGGTCTTCGTGGCAGCATATCCTAGTCTTTCCACTATTTGATTTCGCATTCAATTTCAAGTTGTTAATCAAGGATTACTTGTAGCTTGAGAATTGGTGTTTACTTAGGTATATAAATCTCCTTTAGAATACTTGAAATTGTATACTTGCTTCTTGTGTTTAAATTGCATTTAGAATACTTGAAATTGTATATTTGCTCCTTCTTTAAACCTCATTATGTATACTTGAACTTGTATACTTGCTCTGTGAGTTTAAATTTCGTTTAGTATACTTGTGCTGTGTATACTTGTCTTATACGTAATTCATTTAGCTTAGTATACTTGTGCTTGTATACTTGATTTATGAGTTTTCCATATATTAGTGTACTTGTGTATGTATGCTTAGATATTGCATATCTTGTTTTAATGTGATTTAGTATATTTGTAAGTGTATGCTTATATGTTGTGCATGGTGTTCAACATTGTTTTGTATACTTAAGCATGTATACTTGTGTGTTGTCGTTCATTTCAATTGCTAGTGTAGCTTAAGATGATCCCTTAGACTAATTTGGAACATTGACATTAGGTGGTATGACCCTTTTGAATTATTTCACATTAATGTGATAATCTCGTAAAAAGTTAGGTCTATGCATGCTCATTCCCTACGAGTAATACAAGTTCCTCACCCCTCGCTGAATGCGACCTATTTCAGGCAAGAAGACGTGGTTTCGGGATGCACAATATCCTTAGGTCGTTTTGTTGAATTGAAGTTCTTTTAATGTATTTTTGTTAACATGCAAGTGTTAGCATGTTTAGCTTCTCTTATGAAATTGTAATGTAATGTTTGGTTTAACATGTCATTTTCAATTCCGGATATGTAATGAGTGCCTAAGCACTCTTTTTAGTACTCATTTGATATGTATGACATGAGGCCAAGGGCCACAAACTTTAAAGTTCAAATGTGTGCATTTAAATTTCAAGTTTCACCTTTGAATTGTAATTTTGCGAACTTTGGAGGTTTGGCATGTGATTTGGAGTAAATGATATGTAATGAGGTTATGGGCCATTGTAACATATTTCAATATGTAAAGTACGTTTGTTGGCATGCTTGCACAGCTTTAAATTCTGTTTTTAGACCATTTCATGATGTGGATTGTGGCTTAGGTAAAGCCTCATCATTTATGGTGCATAATAGGTGTTTTTGCACTTTCTCTAGTCATTTCGGCCGACTAAAATGCCATTTCAGTCGACCGGTGGCTTTTGGATTTCATTTGAATAGTTTAAGTGCATTTTCCAGTAGCTTAGGTACTGTTTTGGTCACAACTGGTAGACCGATTCATCATTTCGGCCGACTGATGTGTTTTTCCTTTATTTTCCAGATTTTTGGTCATTCTGGGGTCATTTCGGCCAACCTAAATGCCCAGCTCTTTTTCCCCTTTCAATTTTGTATCGACTTTGTTTCTCTGACTTCAAATGGTTATAACTCCTTCATTCCTAATTCAAATTGGGTGATTCTTGAGTCTAAACTCAAGAATTTTGAGTCAGCTTTCCAATGGTACCAACCACACATAGAAACTCCAACCTTAGTGAGAGTTATAACAATTTTAGTGAGATAGGATTGTGATATCTCTTAATTGGAGGACGTCGTTTCGTTCTATCTTCATATCTCTGTCATCCGGACTCCAAATCAAGAGATTCTTGAGTCTAGAGTTGTTTATTTTTCGTTATCTTTCCAATGGTGTGCACGGTGGCACCCATTTCAGTTTGGAATGACCATTTTACCCTTGGTCCATTCCTTGGAAGGTTTTGAAACCCTAACTTCGGTCTTACTCCGCTGAATCACGGGACTCCTCGGAAGGCCACTCTCGTGTCTTAGGGATGATGTACATCTCTATAGACTTGTTTATATTTTGCTTCCGTATTTTGGATCCGTTTCGGGTTATCACAGGACACACTAGTTTTGTAAAAAAGAATCCAGGGTCGTCACAATATACGTTTGCCTAATTTTCTCCCAAGTATTTATGAATCTGTTATATGCTTTGTTTATATTTGGAAGTCTGTTCCACGAAGATTTTTGGAAGTACTGAGAAATTGCAATGTAAAAAAAAATAAAAAAATAAAAATATACTAAGAAATTAAGAAATTCTCTGAAGTTACATTTAGAATAAAACAACATTTAGTTCAACCAGTTTAATATATATTTTATCTGTAATATGTGTATTACATACACATATATATTTGGATACATATATCATCAGAAACCAATTTCTATTTACTTATATTGATTTTTAAAATAAGAAGCATGGATATCATCTTCAATTGAAGAAAAATTATTTCATCTCAATACATCCTATTATTCAAATAAAAACTCACGTTAATTTCACTTCTTTAATCATTTATATTAAAGTCACAATTTTTTTTAGAAAAGTATCGTAAACTAAAACTCTTCTTAATTGTGAATTCTTTTTCTTTTTCACTCTTTTTCTTTAGCGTTGAGAAAAAATGTGATTGATTAAATTTAAAAGTCTATCGTGTATCAAGCAGTGTAAAAGTTATTTTCTGAATTCTTTCGCAAGTAGAGAAGCTTTACAATCCTTGACTAAAAGTCACTCTCTTTAAATAATAAATTATTAATATTAAATAAAAAATTAATAAATATATGTCTAAATAAAAAATTATAAGTTCTGTTTATTCAACCGCATTGGAATAAAAAGCTCATAAGATTCTTGTATATAAAGTTATTCAATTTTATTGAAATTGATATTATTAAACATCTTTTAAAGAAACTAGATGATGGTTGAAAATCAGAACTTTCATTTATAAATAAATCTCTCATGACGAATTTTAGTTGTCTCTGAATTTCTAGTATGTATTAATTCCATGTATTGAAATCCATTCATATGGAAAGGTATGAATTTCAATCTATTTAGAGTGTTGGAAGAATTTATTGGATAAAAATGAAAGTGTCTTGAAAGTGAGAGTGAAATACGTAAATGTTATACTCCTTTATAGAATTTACAAACTTTACTTGCGTAGAGAGACACACTTATAAGTGTTATACAGAGTGAAATATGCAACTGTTATAATCCTTTTCTGAATTTAGAAATGTTTACGATGCGTAGAGAGACATACTTTTAACAGTAAACAATTGTAGAAAAATTAGACTATTCATAATTATAGATTTTATTTATGAATATATTGTAATACTTACTCTATATCATCTCTTTCATCTATTTTTATCCTCTTATACTCTTTCTTTTCACAAAAATCTGCTATCCTTTAAAATACCCTCGATGAATTTTTAATGGTTTTGAAAATAAATTCTGACTGTACGTGAACAACTTTAAGGTCTCAAAATAATATGCTATCATGAATATTCTATTCTATTCAGTCATACATAACAAAAAATATATATAGATATAAGTCGTGCACATATAATTATTTAATTTTTATTGCATGTTTTTAAATAAATTTATAAAAAAAAAATGTAACGTGTTATATGTAGTATTTGTAAACGTACTGTTATATTCTAATATATCATATGATTTGATATAATAAATCTCTTGTACAATTGATTCAATAGTCTTTTTCATTGCTTTGCAAAATAAAATTTTATTCTTTAATTGTTCGGCTATAAATACCACAAGAATATTAGGGTTTGCATAAGGTTTTGGATAAAGGGACCTTGAAGATGATGAAAAGTCTTATTTATCTTCGAGATTAATAGTCAAATAGTTATTCGGATGATAAATGATAACTTAAAGTTTTGAATTTATTTTGCTCTAAATTTATAAATACATAAATCAAATTAATTTAGCACTTTTATCCGCAAGTTACTTTAATTTCATTTTAGATTTTATTTCTCTATTTGATTTTCAAATTATTTTTACATATCATCTAAGCTATTTTACTATCCCAAAATATTGCTAAATTCAATCAAGTGCATCACACATGGTTCTATCTAGTATATATATATGAAGAATTAGTGTGTGAAGAATTAAGCGATCTATTTTCAAGGTTTTACTTATCTATTTTTCGGATTTTGTTGAATTTCTTGTAAAATTATACACACACACACACACACACACACACACACAAACACATATATTCCAATGGGTATTTTGGTAACTTATTATGGATCCAATGGGTGTAGAAATGTCATTTCATACATCTAAGTCAACACAAAGTCAAAGGGTTAATGTATTTTTTACATGTAAAAAGTAGTTTGACACATGAAAAGTAACTTTTGGGTGTGAGCTAGACAAACTTTGCAATGTCAGTGATATTTATTTTCCAAAATGTTCAATATTAAAGAATATTAGTGTAATTAACCCTAAAATATTTTGTTCTTTGAAAATCCGAATCCCGTCTTGGACACCCCTCTTTATACCCTCTGTTTGGGATTTGGATTTTGATCCATCGATTTAATGACAATTTCTAAAACCATATAATCTTCTAAAAATGTTATATGAAAAAGTTCATACAATTTAGTTTGGTGAGTGGTGGGGTGATTTTTGAGAATAGGTAATTATGATTATAGGTGGGAGATAATTTGGATCCAAATAAATAGGTGGTTCTCAAATACAAAGTTATTATTATAAAGTTAAATTCAGTCACTTTTGTAGTATAGGTGTAATTCAGTTGGTCAAACTAAAATTAATTGCAGTGAAGTGATCATGGTCACCCGATTTCGATGTCTGGACACTTTTGTTGTTTTTCAGTGACCAAGGTCTTTGAACACTATTTTGAACCAAATATAATATCTCGTACACTATCACGAACGGTTTGAAACTCCACTCTCTTCTCAACCTTCCCCACTAAATACGATGAAAACTTCTCAAGGGAAAAAAAAAAAAAAAACTGCATTTAGTTAAAACTCCAACATTATATACAAGGGCACAGAGCTTAGAAATGGATTCTCCAATGGTTACACAAATTGGGAATCAAAGGCTATATACTCCACAGACATTAGTACTTTATTTCATTTGCAACAATGCTAATTATATAAATATAATCCAGGACAAGGAAAGACCACACACTCGCATTGAAATAAAAACAGATGTTCAATATCAGAATGTCATTCCCAAAGCCAAGCTACTGGAGATAACCAACATACAGAATGAAACTTCGAAGCCTAGGTATTTTATCCACTTTCCTGCATAAAAATAAGATACAATAAATAAATACGTAGAGAAATAAGAGGTTAGATTTCAATAGTAATGGAACTTACAAGACATGGCCACAAAATATTTGATCTAAGCAGTTCTAGACTTCTAGTTGCCACCTAATTTTTCACATGTTCAACCAAAGTGCTTAAGAAACACGCGGGCCAAAATGCACATCCAGGTAGGGATAGCAAAGTCTATCAAGGAAACATCATTTAGACAACTCATCTATTGTGTAGCCCAGTAATTGACTCTAGAGAGGGGAGGGGGGTGGTGGTGGTGAATGGAGTCAATGGCCAATAATGGCAAATAATTGAAAACAATTTCTCAAATCTTCTCAATACAAATATGTAGCAATTAAGTGAAGCGAGTAAGCAATATATAGCATAAATGTAAAGGAGATAATAGAGAGAGAAGATTGCAAACTATGACACGGCAATTATTGTGAAGTTCGGAAACTCCTACTCCTCGGCTCAAGACTCCTGTTGAGACTTCCCAAATCCACTATGGCTTCTCCTTACGGGTGGAGAGCAAACACTCACAAGAAGCAAGACCTTGCTTCTTTTGTTTGCTAAGAGAACCACTTTCTCTTGGTCTTTCTTTCGGTCACGCCAATTACAATTGTTTGTAATAGTGTATCTCTCAAAGATTGATGTACAAGTTTTTCGCTCACAAGACTAGAGTAACAAATGAATCAAACGAAGCTCAAGTCTATGGTGATGATTGAATGAACAAGAGAAATGAATGCTTGAATAAATGCTCTTGAATGCTATTTCAAATGTTTTCTCAAAGATACACAGAAATATGTTTTGGGAGGTGGACGAGGTATGTGTTTCCATGGATTTGTTGTATCGACAGGAGGCAATTGGCAGCAATTGGCAAAGGTAGTGATGTTATGACATGGATTCCCTCTTCCCATGGTCGCTTTGAAGTTTGTTCTTCTTATGTCTTTCTGATTTTGATATTGTTGATTTTCCATGGAAGACTATTTGGCGTTCTATGGCTCCAACTAGAGTGGCATTCTTTGTTTGGACCGCTGTTTAGGCTAAGATCCTTACGATTGATAATCTAAGGAAAAGGGGCAATTGTCTTGTTAATTGGTGCTGTTTGTGCAAACAAGATGGTGAGTCAGTTGCTCACATTCTATTACATTGTCCTATAGTGAAAGATTGTTGGAATCTTATCTTTTGTCTGTTTGATATGCATTGGGTTATGCCTCGTTACCCTAAGGATTTGGTTTGTATATGGAGAGGATGCCGTGTAAGTAGCGCTGTTCGTGATTATTGGAGAGTTGTACCACATTGTGTTTGGTGGTGCATTTGGAAGGAGAGGAATAGTAGAATGTTCAAAGGGAAAGAATCGTCCATGGTGAGTCTGAAATTTCACATCATACGCTCTCTTTTCAGTTATGTGAAGAGGAAGTCCTGTTCTTCTTCCGAAGATTTAATTATTTTTTTGGCTTCTTTGGGATCTTAATCCCTAGTTCCACTTTTGTATATTTTGTATAAGGGATGCGTTCCCCTCTTGAACGCCTTTTTTATTTCAATTATTATTATAAAAAAAAAAAGAGTCTTTTGTTGGTTGATGGTAGGTCAGGAGCATTAATTGCAGAAATATAGCTGTTGGAGATAAGTGACAAGCATTTAATGCGTTTTCAGCAGTTAGAGATATTTATAGGTAACCAAGTAACCGGTTACATGGATTGATCTACTTGGTTAGATGAGATCCAGATCTCATATGATCGGTTACATGCTTTTGTCTGATTGGTTACATAAAGAAGAATGCAAAAGACATTCTCTAGCTTAATTCATTTGATCGGTAACTTTATGCAAACTAACCGATTACTTCATGTGATCTGATCGGTTACATGATGCTATCTAATCGGTTACATCATGCTTCATGGTGAAATGTTTGTTCTCTGTCTTAATACATCTGATCGATTACTTCAAGTGATCTAATCGGTTACATGAGGTGATCTGATCGGTTACATCATGCATTGTAGTGAAAACATGTTCTCTATCTTAATGCATCTGATCAGATAGATCATTTCATCTAACCGGTTACATTGTGTCTATAAATATGCTTTATGTCCATGCATCTGATCGGTTAGACCATTTCATCTAATCGGTTACATGAACTGTAAGTTACATTTTTTTAAGTGAAAAGACTTAAATGCCCTTGGAGATGCTTTCTAGGAATAAATGCATGAGTCTATAGATATGAGCTTCAAATGGATTCATAAATTACTTTGACATTGAATCATAAACACTCACCAAGCTATTTACCCCTTTCTTCAAGCCTTGTCCATGATCGTTTCAAGCTTCAAGGTAATCTTGCTTTCTTCTTTTTGAGTTGCTTGTTTGAATCTTGTTCTTTACAGCTTTATGCTTTTTGAACTCATTTGCTTTTTATAGATGTGATCTTGAATCTACACACTTAATGTAAATATTAGTCCGAGAACATCATTAATGGTTTGTAATCATCAAAATCAATGGATTGTCTAAGGATGAATCCTTTAGGTCAACAACTTGCATTTCACACACTATAGGTTCAAAGCGAACCGAAATTAGTCGGACAACCTGACTGACCGGTGACTAAATTGATCCAAATTCAATTGCAGGATTGACGCAAAAGAGCAGCTTAAGTGTTACCATTGACGTACAGAAGAAGAGATGGAAATATAAAATAATGGAAAGAGTGAACAATTGCGGAGAAAGAATATATCCTTCTATGTATTAAGGAGAGAGACAGAGAGGGAGAGAAGAAAAATATATATCCTTCTACGTTAAGAACCAACCAGTGTCAAGAGTTTTGGACAACCCAGACTGACCAGTGACTAAATTAATTGATCCCAAATTCAATTGCAGGATTGATGCAAAAAATGCTGCAACATAGCCTTACCTTTAGACATACAAAAGGGTGCAGATGGTGCTAGGAATTTTGTAATTCTAATATTATGATTGGCAAATTTTGTAGGAGAAAACTCACTCTATGTAATTTAATGATTATCTATTTTAGTAAGTGAGATAGCAATAGAATGGATAGATGATTTAAATGTGAAGATAAGACTGCTTGAAGATGACTACATCAAAAGGGCAAAAAGGTCCAAAGATCTTCAAAGGGCAAATTAGTCAAAGAACTACTTAAAAGGGCAAAACAGTCCAGAAAACTACTACAAAGGGCAGAATAGTCCAAGATCTACTTAAATTTATAAGTGATATATAAATACATATATACTTACCCAAAAATATATAGAAGGCAAATATTGCTTAGGATCAGTTTTGCCTAGTGTGTTAATACTTTCCATATTGATTTTTAGCATATCCAAGGATTAGTTTTCTGCAAATTGCATACGCGCTATTTTTGTTAAGTTTTAAGTTGCCTTAAGACTCCATATATGAGTATGCATCAAGAAAAACTTTTTATAGAGCCTCCTAGAACGTGTTTTGATGACTTAAACATGTGTTCAATTACTTTAAGCTGATTTCAAGTCAATGAAGTCGAAAACATAAAGTTGCAGCTGTCTCAATAGATCGACCCAATGCAAACTTCGATGGATAGACTTGCTAAGGACATCGATAAAACGGAATGAAGCCTCGATCGATCGAAGCCTATTCCAATAAGATCGATGGAAATATTTTAAGTAGAAAACTTCATTTCCTAATTGGGTTTCCTTGATCATTTTTTAATATTTTAGTGGGTCAAGTTTAAAATGTTTTTCATCTGAAAAGACTTAATATTCTTCCATAATAGTCTTTCCATATATTTTATTTATTTTAATTGTTATCTAATATACGACTTAAAAAACAAGTCTACTTGGAGACCAAGACATTTGAGTGGGGAACAAGTATAGTTATCTATATATACAAAGTCTAAAAATATAAACCGTGTGTGTGTGTCCCTTGAGTGTCAAAAGCCCTATAGTGCTTACTACCGCTAAAAGATTTTTTTATTTATTTGTTTATCCACGAGTGTTCTGTGTGAGAGTTCTACTTGTGTGTATCCATAAGAGAGTTTGTGTGAGATATTTCTTACGTGAGTTGAGGGCACCACACTTGATATATAAGACCGTATATCTTGTGATTTTGTTTTTATGCATCACACACACATATCATACACTCTGCATTAGATATGGTAATTATGATGTAATACATGTGTTGATATATATTGTTGCGGTATGAGCTGAAAGTTCAACATCAACACAACAAAGTGCTACAAACCAATCCAAACAGTGAAGTGGTGGACAGATTGGTTGACGGAACGATTCCAAGGTAAACTGAAGAGATGGATCGGGTGGAGGACAACTGAAGAGATTTTCTAGAGTGCCACGATAGGGCTATTGGGTTGAAACTGAGCGTGGTGTAAAGCAATTGTACGTGAACCAACATTGAGGATTTGTTGTCATACTAAGTCTAGAAGTAATATGGTGTTCATCGCGTTGAACTGGACTAATTGTACACTCTTTCTTCATAGTGAATTCATTGGCCGTGCCAAGTCCCGAGGTTTTTTTTATCTATGCTATGTGGATGATATATGCTTGAATGTTTATCTTGATGAAATCATCACATATAAGTGCTTGAATGTTTAGAAGCAATTAACCAGATTTAACCTATCACTAGGAAGTGGCTATTTTAAAGGCTACAAGTTTGTTTATTTATTTATTAAATTAGATGTAGTGTCTTTGTTTAGTAATTTATTTGTTTAAATCTGATTTTGTTTCTTTAAGGGTCAAAGTACTTTAACTGAATATTGAATACAAAGAGTAATAAATTCACCAATCGGTATTTGAATTAATATATCATAGATATATTACCTTCCGCATTCAATTGTTTACAGTATTCAAAAGTGGGAACCGACCTATTCACCCCACCTCTAGGTCATTATCTCAAGGTCTTGTTCATTACGTTCATGATTCAATTGGGGCCTCTTCATAAGTCTCATCCTGAGCTATCTGATAGAACCTTATCATCAGATGGAGATATGAAAGAATGGACAATTGTGGAGAAGGAATATGGCAAATTAGTTACTTCACAAACTAAACTCCCATAACCAACCCAAAATAAAAAATAAATAAAAGAAGAGAGACTACTGCCTCTATTTTTCAAAATTTAATGCTGAAGCCAAGTAGTTAAGAATGCAGATAGAGAGAAGAATAGTACGTATTGCAAATAAGGGTTTCGCATAAATGCTTTTAGCCTTTTACAGGTCTCTATTTGACATCTATATCTACATCAGTAACTTGTATAGTAAGCAATATGCCTATATCAACAATCATGACTTTAGGCAATAAACATCTACATTCTACCATATAATGTTTACTAGCAACATAAGGCATAAACCCAAATGAGCAACAGAGCATTGAAATAGTCCAATAAACATCTACATTCTACCATATAATGTTTACTAGCAACATGAGGCATAAACCCAAATGAAAGGACAGAAAATGGAGTGGGCCACACTCGGGCCGGTCCACCAGGTGTGGAGCACCATTGGGCCGTTAGGCCACACATAAACCAATCCATCAGACCCAGGGCGCGACATTACTAGGCCCATTTTAACCAGCATTATGAGCGGGTTTTCCTATCTTGTGTGGCCTAGGGAGAAGAACCAGCCCAGAGAGGCCCAGGTTTGAGAGCCAAGAGAGGAGTTTTAAGGTAAATGTAAACTTATATTTATAGAAGTTAGTGAGAAAGAATGAGGTAGATTGCTTCAAGTGTAAGAAGACTTTCCTAATAAGAAGAGAGTTTCTTGCAACAAGTGCCAGAGATACGGACTGTTGATACACCAACCACCTGAGGATTTGCACGTAATAGCCTTTCGCACAATGGGGGATGGATGTGGTAAGTCCTCTACCAAAGGCAAGGTCACAAAATCAGTACGTCCTGCTCGCAACAGACTATTTTACTAAGTGCGTAGAGGCAGAACCGTATCCCAGCGTGACGGGCACACAGTGAGGCACTTCATATGGAACAACATAATTTGTCGGTTTGGGGTCCCGAGGTCTATCGTTATGGACAACGGTACGAACTTGGACAACCAGTATATGAGAAGCCTGCTGGATGAGCATGGGATCAATCAGAAGCTTGCCGCAGTTAGCCATCCACAAGGGAACGAGCAGGCTGAGATCACAAAAAGGTTAATTTTCAGCTGCATAAAGAAAAAACTGGAGAAGGAGAAGGGCAACTGGCTTGAGGATCTTCCGAATGTCCTGTGGGCCTACCAAACAACCCCAAGAAGGCCAACCGGTGAAAGTCCGTTCGCTATGGCGTATCGCATAGAGGCAATGATACCGATCGAGCAAATAGTGCCAACTGTTCGGAGCATAGCATGGAACCAAGAACAGAATGACAAAATGTTGGAGCTCAACCTCGATCTTCTAGAGGAAAAGAGGGATGCGACAACAATCAGGCTTGCCTCATACCAACAGACGCTCACGAAAAGTCATAATAAATGGATGAGGCATAGAGACTTTACTCCTGGAGAGCTAGTGTTGAAGAGAGTGGTGGGCATCACCCCGAAAATGATGCCACCATGGGAATGACCCTACAGAGTCGTAGGAGTCATAGGGAAGAGGGTATACATGCTAGAGACATTAGCCAGAAGGTAGGTTTCCAAGCCATGGAATGCAACATATCTGAAGAGGTATTATCAGTAGAATGAAACAGTCAATTAAGTTTCCATTGGTTTATCTTTCCCTTTAAAAGTATGTCTATATGAATGTAAGATGATTGAGCAACAAGAAATCTATCAAGAGAAGAGTTTTTTAAAGAAAAAGAAACTTGAACATAGCATAAACAAGTCAGTGGCAAATGGCACTATGAGCCGAACGCCAAATATTTGTACAAATTCATTTAATTTAGTGGCAAGTGGCATTCTAGCCGATCGCCAAGAATTTGACCAAGTCAGTGGCAAATGGCACTATGAGCCGAACGCCAAATACTTGTACAAATTCATTTAAGTCAGTGGCAAGTGGCATTCTAGCCGATCGCCAAGAATTTGACCAAGTCAGTGGCAAATGGCACTATGAGCTGAACGCCAAATACTTGTACAAATTCATTTAAGTCAGTGGCAAGAGGCATTCTAGCCGATCGCTAAAAATTTGATCAAGTCAGTGGCAAATGGCACTATGAGCCGAACGCCAAATACTTGTATAAATTCTTTTAATTCAGTGGCATTCTAGTCGATTGCCAAGAAATTGACCAAGTCACTGGCAAATGGCACAATGAACCGAATGCCAAATAGTTGTATAAATTCATTTAATCCAGCGGCAAGGGGCATTCTAGCCGATCGCCAAGAATTTGACTAAGTCAGTGGCAAATGGCACTATGAGCCGAAAGCCAAATACTTGTACAAATTCATTTAATTCAGTGGCAATTGGCATTCTAGCCGATCACCAAGAATTTAACTAAGTCAGTGGAAAATAGCACTATGAACCGACTGCCAAACATTTACGCGAATTTGTTTAATTCAGTGGCAAATGGCACTATGAGCGTACCACCAAACATTTACGCGAATTTGTTTAATTCAGTGGCAGATGGCATTATGAGTCTATCCCCACCCCACCCCCCCCCCCCCCCCACACACACACACACACACACACACACCACGGCACTGCCCATCTATATCTAGCCATCCTCAACTCCTCCCATAGCCCTCTCCTCTCCACATCCCCTCCTGACCCATAAAAACATCCATTGCATACCATCCTCTTCCAATGCAAAGAACCTTCCTTTCCATACATCCACTTTAGACACCCACCTTTTGTCCCAAAGAACCACAATACCCCTCGTTGTCCCCTCCGCATCAATCACCTCCCAATCCACAAATCTACCACCCCATAGACTTTTCATCACTCTAGTTGTGGAGTCGGCTGACTTGGATTCTTGTAAACACACCACTTGAGCCCCCATTTCCGAATCAAAGCCTTCACCACCTTCCTTTTGTTCGGTTCATTGAGACCCCGAACATTCCAAGACACTACTTTGAGCTTCATAGACACACAATATCTTTCACCCCTCCCCTCCTTCTCCCACTTCTGTTATCAATACCTTCTCCACTCCTACCTTCATAATTCACATAGGAAATGAGACTATTAAGCTCCCTCACCCCCTTCCGGCAAGGACTTTTCTTCTGTTTCATCAAAGCCCAATCATCATCCACCTCTTGGAACAAAGTCATGAATCTGATCAACCTCCCCAGCACATGACATTCCCAGCAGCTTGCTAGTGCCCTCGATGCATTCCATGAACCATCCCTCATTCCGGTCTTCCAGAATAGCATCCCTCTGCACTTCCCTGATTGCATCCAATGGAATGTCAATTCCTATGACTCCAGAATTTTCCCACACTGGCGGTGGGAAATCCAGGGCAGGAAAACAGTCAACACCACTACCATCCCCATGCACCAGCAAACTTGGCGAAACAGCTCCACCCATGGCCCCATCACAATGAAGTCTCAGGTCTGAGTGCAGAGCATCGGCAGTCACTCCATCAATCAACAATTGGGTCTCACTGTTACATAAATTCAGCCACTCAGAATCACAAATATTCTCAGCACAGTGAAGTTTCAGATCAGCACGTAGAGCATCAGCAATCCCTTTATCAATAATCAATTGCGTTCCCCGGCCAACACACAGAATTAAACTTCCATCTTCCTTTGCATTTGGGAGGAGCTTTAGATGATTGCAGTAATCAACATCAGTGCTAGAGTCATAACATGTAATAGCCCCTGTGAAGTCTGAAAAGTCTGACATCCCTCCACAATCATCCTCCTATGAACCTTCATAATCCACTTCCATGACCGGCGACAGTCTATGAGATTCAGCCAAAATCCCCCCTTCCATCCCCCTAACACCACTCCTCAACACCCCTAAAGGAGGAGTAGAAGAAGAAGAAGGAACAGAGAGAAGAAGACTGAAGAAGAGGAGTGGGGCACATACCAGGAATAAAATCATCTTTGATTGACGTCACCCATTTTTGTTTCTGCTTGCGAGACCATCACCGACCTTTCGATAAAGCATGAAACTTATGGAAATGTCCCTGGCGCTTTGAACCACAATCCGTCCAACCACCATGCTCATCATTGTTGCTATGGCTCTTGCTACTCTGTGGAATGCTGGACTCAACATTGGTTGTGATCCAATTATGCTTCTCCATCTTGGTCCATTTCTTGTTTGCGGCACGTCGATGAAATCCATAGTTATTAAAAGCCCAAGGCGCACCGAGGCGCTAGAGGTCCCTTGGAGCCTAGGCGCGAGGCGCACGGCGAGGCGCGAGCCTGAGTGATGTGAGGTGCACAAGTAAAATTTTAAAACAATAATTGTTAACAAAAATAACACAATCAAACAATGAACATCCAATAATAAAAACACTAAATTAGTCTAAATATATCACAATTAAACCAATAAAGTAACTAGAAAAATAGAACAATTAAACTAATAAAGCTATTTATTCATAAGAAAGATTCAAAAAAAGCAAAACATAAACCAATTAACCATATATTATAAATTTATACTTGATGTCTTAAGCAAAAGCTATCATTTGACTCCAAAACAGATCCATCAAAAGATACTTAGTAGCCTACCAAATCTATAAAGTATCATAGTCAATACTTAATAGCCTACCAAATTTATAAACCAAGCAACAAAATATCAGTTTTAGTTTTGAGTTTTAGCAAGGACTCCTAAAACCAAAGTTACCAAACAATCTTAAGGGACCTAAATATCATCCTCTTCACCAAACAACATAGTCTCATCATCGTCCCCATTAAAAGATTTGTAACCCTCGGCATCTTCTTCCTCTTCTGTGTCCTCAGAGTTTGCCTCGTCATCATTTATGATTCGTAGTGAAGACGAGCATGAAGGTGTTGTCCTCTTTGTTGCCCTTGGAGCTGATCTTGATCTTAAATTATGGCTGGACTCTCCAGCCCCGGTAGCTCTAGCAACTACACCCCATGTCAAAGAGTCATCTTCAAACACCAACTCATTTTCGGCATCTACATCTTCATCCATTATTCCAACCAACCACTCATTGCTATCATCTATATCATTTAAAAGGATTGGATCGATCCTATCATGCATATCATATCGTCGTTTTAGTGCTCTATTATACTTGATGAAAACCAAATCATTCAATCGACATTGAGTTAGCCGGTTCCTCTTCTTGCTATGAAGCTGCATTAATTCAAATAATTAATAAGTATAAGTGTATAACTATTTATAATATAATTTTTTATCATTGAATTACTAATACTACAAACTTACATGTTCAAATACACTCCAATTTCATTCACACCCAGATGCGCTACACGTGAGGCTAAGTACTTTAATAGCAAATTTTTGCAAATTAGGAGTTGTAGAACCATATGCGGACCACCAATCGGCTGTTATTTACATATTATTAGTAAAAAATTAACAAAATTAAAATTCAAATATACTAAAAAATGATTAATTGAGTTGTTTACCTGGTGCCCTTGACTTTCTTTGTCTAATAGCAATTGATGAGCCAAATAGACCATCAGCTTTCATATATCTACTCAACTCCAAAGAAATTTTATCTTGCACTTCAGTGGTTGGAACCAATCTTTCTATGCATTGATATAAACCACCCATCACCTCTTCATCTTGCTCAATATTTGGATTGCTATAAAAATATTCTGGGTTTAACAAATGCCCAGCTGCATGCAAAGGGCGATGGAGTTGGATATTCCACCTTCTATCAATGATCTTAAAGATGTCCTTATACTTCTCCTCATTCCCACCAAAAGCTTTAGCTATCGCTTCTTTAGCCCTTTCCATAGCCTCATAAATATATCCCATTGGAGGCCTTCTCTCACCATCAACCAACTTAAGTACACGAACAAGAGAGCTTGCTACTTTGAGAGAGTACACAATGTTTGTCCAAAATGAAGGCATCAACACAATATGTGCTACATTTTTCCCTTGTATCTCTTTCGCCCATTTACTGGAGGTCCATTCTTGTGAAGTGAACATCTTCCTCAAGCAATCCTTTTGACGATGGATGCTTGATAATGTGATAAATGAAGTGGCAAATCGTGTCGTTGCAGCAACTCTTTATGTCCAGTATAACACCTCATCATGTTTAACAAACCCGAACGGTTATAAATATAACCATTTAACATTATAGCTCTCTTTATGGTCATCATTATATTTGGGATCTTAGCAATGTCCTCCAACATCAGGTCCACACAATGTGCAGCACAAGGTGACCAATACAAATGTCGGTGCCTTCCCTCCAACATTCTCCCTATTGTAAAGAAAGAAAATTTGGATTAATAGAAGGCTAGAAGCAATAAACCTAAAATTTTCACATCAAGTGCATATTGACATCTATACCTGCCACAACATTAGAAGATGCACTTTCAGTGACTACTTGAACCACATTTGTTGCTCCAATTTGCTACACGGACTTGTTAAGCAAGTCGAACATTTTTTCACCGGTCTTTGAATAAGAGGAAGCATCGACAGATTGAATGAACATTGTCCCTTTAGGACAATTCACCAGAAAATTAATCAAACACCTCAGTCTTTTATCCTCCCATCCATCTGCCATAATTGTGCATCCGTATTTTGCCCATTCCTCCTTATGATCCCGCATTAAATTGTCTGTATGCCCCAGTTCTTTCTTGAGGAGGGGAACTCTCACCTCATGATAAGACGGAGGTTTCATTCCTGGACCATGTTGGCCAATAGCTTCAACAACTGGTGCAAAACTATCATAATTAAGGGCATTGAATGATATCTCGGCATCATACATCCATCTTGCAAACCGTTGGCATGCTCGGTTTCTAAGTTCTTTCTTGCAAGCACTGTCAATTGTTGTTTGCTTACCCTTGTCATTTTTTCTATTTTGCACAGCCACTTCCGGAGGAGGGGTGAAGTACAAATCAATAGGACCTTTCTGCTTCTGCTTTTTTGATTGAATATTATTGCTTCCAGTTCCACTTGCCACTCTTTTACCCTTAACATCAATAATTGCAACATCATCCTCATCTTGATCATCCATGTCATCAAAATCCGGCAACAAATTTGTGTATTCCTTTTCTTCTTTCTTCTTGCTCATGTATTCTCTAATCTCCTCTTTCACATGTTCAGGGCACTTTTTACATGCTTGTACATTTCTATATCCTCCTACAATGTGTTGCTTAGCCCTGTAAATACCCCCTTTCATAACTTTTTCACAAAAATTACATGTTGCATTCCTATCTTGTGGGTTTTGCAGGTGACAATAATTCCAAGCTGGATCCTTTGACATTTTTTCCTATCTATTTAGTATTTACAATGAGAAATAGAATGGAGTCAATGGAGTGATGGACCAAGTTAAATTCAGCAAACAACATTCACACTTTCAGCAAACACCATTCAAAAAGATGCATTCAAAATTTAAATAATCCATGTAGCAAAATTCAGCAGAACACAACAACAAAAAAAAAAAAAAAGAGACAGACAGCCTTCAAAGCAGAGATTGAAAAAAAAAAAAAAAAATACGGTGGAGTAAATGACGGGGAAAAAAATGAAGGCTATAGAGAACAAAAACAGAGTCTGAAATTTTACAGCAATTAACAGACAACAAAAAAATAATAATTTTAAAAAGTCTTATTGTATTCGGTATTTCTTTATTAAAGGGTGAGGTGGTGTACTGATTCTCCTACGGGTAATATAGCACTGCAAACTATGTTTGCTGAAGACTGATGATGATGAAGAGCGTACAGATTTACAGCTATACACCAAGAAGTTGAAAATGATGGAAAAAAATACAACGAGAAAAAAAATACAGGCCAGAGAGAACAAAAAAAAAAAATTATATATATATATATATATAGCAAGACACGGGAGAGGAGTAGATGAAGAAAAAGAAAGAAGAAGAAAAAAAACAGAGACTCACAAGAACAAAAACAGAGATGGAGAAAAAGATAGAAAAGAAAAAAAAAAAGACCCAGAAAAAGAAAGAGCTAAAAAAACACAAAACCAGATATATAGAGAGGAGGAAGAAAAAAAGAGACCAAGAAGAACAGAAACAGGGACGGAGAAAAAGAAAGAAGAAAAAAAAAAAATACAGAGACAGAGAAAAAGATAGAAGAAAAAAAATAAGAGACCTGAAAAAAAAAATACCAGTCTACTAGAGACCCAGAAAAAGAAAGAAGAAAATCAGAGAAATAGAGAAGAAAAGAAAAAAAAAAAAAAGGGCGAGATATAGAGATTAGAGCAAATGAAGAGAGAGAGAGAGAAGAGGAGAAGAGAAGAGGAGAACTGGAGAAGGAAAAAAAAACTGACCTGTTAATTTGATAGACCCAGAAAAAGAAAGAAGAAAATCAGAGAAATAGAGGAGAAGAAGAAAAAAAAAAATTAAAGGGCGAGATATAGAGATTAGAGCAAATGAAGAGAGAGAGAGAAGAGGAGAACTGGAGAAGGAAAAAAAAAAAAAAAACAAAACTGACCTGTTAATTTGATTCGGTGATTCCTGGCCGGACGGACTGGTAGCCCTCTCCTCTTCTCTGCTCTTCTCTTCTCTTTCTTTCTCTCTTCTCTCTCTTCTCTTTCTCTTTCCCACTCCCACACGTCTTTATTTCTGCTGCAGCCTTTGCTCTTTGACTGATTTGTTTTGTTGACTGTTGGGAGACATTGGGTTGCCAAGTCACAAGAAAACTTTTCTTTTTGTACTTTAAGTTTCCATTTTGTACTCTTTCAGTTTCCAAAAGCTGTAACTATATATATATATATAATGATATAAACTAAACAAGCAAACACAAAGTACACGTAATACATCAAACAAATATATGAAGGAGCATAGAATATATGAAGCGCGCCTCTTAAACTATCCAAGGCGCAGCCCAGGCGCGCGCCTAGTGAAGGTCGCTACGCCTGGGCTAGCATGAGGTGCATGAGGTGCACCTATAGGCGCCTTGCGCCTAGGCGCGCGCCCAGGCGCACTTTTAATAACACTGATGAAATCTCTGTGAATTCTGAGAATGATCCCTTGACATATGATTGGATGAAGTCTTGAACTGTGTCTTCTGCATATGCGCCTTGGATTGGGGCGAAACAAATCTCTGATGTTGAGGAGGAGCTTGGGTCAAGCCCTCATTAATTGGGTCATAATGAATTGGCCCAAAATGATTGAAAAGAACAGGCCCACCCATATTTCCGACTTGCTGATCATACAAAGCAGAAATTGAGCCTTTTTTAAGTGACCCAGGTCCACGAAAACAAGAACTCACATCATGATGACGGCCCTTCCCGTTAGACACAAGCCTCTTCTCAAAAGGTCCAGAGTTGGGCCTCCCTCCTTTACCCGCACCAAAAGGATCATGTCTCTGTGAGCCGGAGAAAATTGGTTAAGCAAAATCTTTTGAAGCAGGTCCATTAACATGCCCCATGGAATTGGGCTTAAAGCCTTAACCCAGCCCACGATCAGAAAAAACAAAATGCCCCGAAGAATCCAGATGGTCACGTGGCCTGCTAAAAGCCTCCCTACCAAATCTCTTTGCTGGAACAGACCTCCACCGCCCATGCCTGTATCCATTAGATCTTCCTCTAACACATGTCCCCTGTTCGAAATTTTAAACATCTTTAGAGATAAGGTTGCAATCTTGATCATTGCCTCTCTGCTCACCACGTATCTCCCCCCTCATTCCAGCATAGCCACTCTCAACACACTCGTGAGGAGCACTCTGTCTTCCTCCAACGACTCTAATCGTCCTCTACAACTCCCGTTCATCCATCCATCTATGAAGCTCCTCGACGCCTTTCGTACCCTTACAGTCCTCAACCAATTATCTTCTTTCATCGCATGAGAGCCATCACTTCTTTCCAGACTCTCCGTTGTCGGAAGTATCCTCACTCTCGACAACCTCAGAAGAAGATGCCAAGTTGTAGTGAACTGGTGTTGCATGTGTAAGAAGTCGGAGAATCTGTGAACCACCTTTTGATTCATTGCCCTATGGTGAGGGACATTTGGGCTATGTTCTTGCTTGCCTTTGGTGTGGCTTGGGTGTTCCCTGAGTCCGCGGTTGATTTGCTTGAGGCTTGGAAAGGGTGTATAGTGGAGAGCCGAGTCAAAGATGCTTGGAGGGTCCCTCCCCTCTGTCTTTGGTGGGATTGTAGCACAAGAGAAATAGGAGATCCTTTAAGGGGAAGGAGTCTCCTATTTGGTCTCTCAAATATAATATTTTGTCGTCTTTATTCTTTTGGGTTAATGGGCAAAATTGTATATCCTTGGATAGTCTTTTGGATTTTGTTGATAGTTTAAAGAAGTAATGTTGCTGGTAGCAGCTTTTTTGTTCTCTTAGGAGCACTCTCCTTTTGAGTGCCTTTAATAATTTTACTTATAAAAAAAGAGTCGAGGAATGCTCGATGTGCCATTTATGTAGAATGGACAATTAATCCGCTTTAGATTATCCGAACACGCTAAGTCTGTGACCCTTAAAGGTGTCCTTCACGATAGTGAGGACACAGCAGTGATCTCACATTAGTTTCCTCATTTAAGAAGGATGGTGATAAACCACGGTATCCAGACCTTTTCTTGCCGTGTGAACCTCTTACAAAATGGGTGCAGATCATTAGACTAATGACATAGCAGTCTTGAGTGTCCATGGTGTTGCATTGATACATGCAGCGTCATGGTCCTAAATGGGAATATGGGATTGTTGAGGCATGGTGGATTGTGAGAAGTGTTCGTTAAGCTAGGGTTTTAGAGTTGCGAGGGTCACATGACTCACGACCTTTACAAAACAATACCCGCGGCCTAACTGGGAAAATTACATAAAGGGGACACATGGAATAGTTGTATAATGCCATGTGGTATGGATATTACCAAAGGAATGAGGAAGGAACCCTAAAAATAACGGAGGGTGGCCATGACGCAAGGGCAACTTTCCAAAGCCCCTTTCCCCTTTTGTTTTTCTCCTGGCCTTCTTTCCTTCCCCGAGTCCTTAGACTCCTTACATCCCATAATTCTCTTGCATCAGTCAAGTCTAACTCGTTCCTTCTAGCATTCCTAAACCCATTCTTTACAAATACCCTTATAAGAAATCTCAAAAACTAAAAAGTGTGGATTTTGAAATATATGTTATGAATATAACGAACATGATATACTAAGTGATTAAATGATAAAATTGTCGATAATAAGTCTATACTAAAAACAAGTGTCTTTTTTCTACAGTCTACAATGTTCTGCGCAACGGTAAGTCCTTTACAAACTAACACCCTTCGACCCAGCCCCCAAACCCCACCCCACCAACACCAAAAAATAAAATAAGGGAACCAAATCAGAAAAGTTCCGTTAAGATTGTCAAAATCAGGATCTGCACCAAAAGGTCTTTTTAAGTTAACTATGACGTCACTATGTGCGATTTCACCACACTAGGGGCGATTTGTGTGACTGCGATTTTGCTAGGTTTGGGATGAAATCCTTTCTGGAAATTGCAAGATTACCAAGAATCTCGCTTGGAGGGGAAGTGAAGATGGCAGTTCCTCACCGAGGACCGTCGTTGTACATTGACGGGGAGTCCGTCGGAGGAAGGAAGTCAGTCCTCTCATCGTGTTTGGTCGGAAGATTTGATAAGGAAGTGGGGGGTTGTGATCGTGTGAAAGAATGGGTAGTGCGGGCTTGGAATACGACTTGTGGAGTGGGGGTAACACCCTTGTCCGACTCACTACTCCTTTTCCGGTTTCCTTCTCAGGCAGAGGCCAAACGCGTGTTGAAAGAAAGGGCGACGACAGTGGGGTTCTGCAACTTTGAGGATCGACGTGTGGTCCTTCCGCATTGGGTGTTGTGGCGTTCTTAGTGATAAAGGTCTCAAACAGATCAGGCTGTTTGGCCTCCCTTTGCATCTCTGGTGTCATGTTTTGTTCGTCAAAGTGGGAGAGCTTTGTGGTGGGTATGTGAGATCTGATGCGGATGAGACTAGGGACGCCGAAAGCGTTCGGATAACAATGAGATCCGGCCGTGATTGTCCAAAGTTCGTGTTTATTAACGACACCTGTTACAAGATCGCGATTTGGGAAGAAATCTCGCCGGAGCTTGTTCCTTCAACAGAGAGTCTTGAAGGTAGTGACGGATCTCATCTTATGTCAGAAGAGAAATGGAATGAGATTCTCAGTAAAGGAAAAGAGGGAGTGCTCGAGATTCAACAGTGGCTGAAGGATCGTGAAATCCAACAAGCAGTGAAGTTCATAGGAGGTAGAAGATGAAGTGATCTTCACGCGCCGGCCAAACGCGTTGATGATGAGCAGAGAAGGATTACATGTGGAGATCGATGGGGTGCTCTTCCAGATTCTGCCTTATCCTTATCTCTTGATGATAAGGTGGGGGAGGACTTTTCTTTTTGGGCTGAGGATGGCGGTGAGATGGGCCAGAAGACGTCAAGACAGGCCAGGAGTCAGATTGGGCCTGGTCTTAATTTTGGGCTCAATCAGCCTAAACCCAACAGAGCGAACTTTGGTTCTGGGCCTTTTCGACGGGTACAGAAAGGGCCGCTTAGATTCGGGCCAAGTGGGCGGATTCAGACTGGGCCTATTAGATCTGGGCCTAACAAAAGGGTGCGAAAAGGGCCAAACTCTTTATCTATCTCTTTCCCAAACACCAAACCAAGCCCTAAGCCATTTAAAGAAGTTCAAGCCCATGTTAAGCCTTCGACTCATTTGCTGAAACCTGAGCGGAGGATGATGGATGTCGGTCGCCATTGATCTCGGTGGACTCGGATTGAAAAACAGAAATGGGTTGCACGATCTCACGCTTTATGTTCAGGTTTGAGTTCTGATCATCCTCAAAATGCTCTCTCTACTTCTACTTCTTCTTCTTCGGGTGGAGTGGTGAGAACTAAGGATCTTGTGGAGGATGTTTCGAATCAACAGAGGGGCCTCATTGGGTCTTCAGGATCATGGAGTGATGGGTCAGAGTTAGATGTCTCAAAAGCCACAATTGGGAGTGTGGGTTGTTTCAATGGAGTGACAGTTTGTGCTGGGAAAGATCTGCACTTCAAACTGAATAATGACTCAGCTATAGCTCTGCTCAAAGAGCTTCGGCTCTTTGCTGTGTTTGAAGGTTTGAACAGTCAACCATCTGTGAATGAGGCAAATTTGTCAACTGAACATGATAATTCGGAAACAGAGGGGAATATGCAATTAGGAGTGGTTGATTTTCCTTCTCAGCAGCACTGTTCTAAAGATTCTTTTTCCTGGACGGATTTTGATCAATCTGAAGTAATGGAACCTCTGGCAATTGTGCAGCCAAATTGTTTGGAGACGACCAATGATCTGGGTATGGAATGGGTTATCGAGAACACTGGAGTAGTAAGTGAAGCTTTGGGTGTCTCTTCAGAAGGTTACAAGGAACAAACCTTGTCTATTCTTCACGAAATTGTTGCAGGAAATGATAGTACTGAATCTAATCGTGGCACAAAAGAAGTCAAAGTCAGAAATTCGCATAGGAAAGGCGAACAGGAAGTGAAGAATCTGATTTCTTGTGTTAATTATGACAGGAAGAATGGGATGACCAAAGAAAAGGGAAGAACCAGAAGTGGTAAATGGGGAGGAGGAGGAGAGTTGATCGTTTTTGGTTCTTCATGAAGCTACGACTTATAACATGGAATGTTCGTGGTCTAAATGATCCGAAAAGAAGAAGAGTTGTCAAGGTAGCTTTGAGGAAGTGGAGTGCTCATGTCGTTTGTTTACAGGAAACTAAGATGGCTTCTATCACCATTGAGATTGTCAGGAGTCTATGGGGAAGAATTGTGGAATGGGAAGTGCTGAACGCCTCTTCAGGTGGTATTCCTCTCATGTGGGATCGAAGGTGGTTGTCAAGTTTGAATTGTTGGAAAGGGTATTTTCTCTGTCTCTTGTCCGTTTCAGATGGAGGAAGACAATTTCAGATGGGTGTTTTTAGGTGTTTATGGGCTGTTACTAATAGTGATAGACCAATCCTGTGGGAAGAGCTTGCTATGTCAAGGATTTGTGGTCATTGCCTTGGTGTTTAGGCGGGGATTTTAATTCTGTTAGGTCCCCGTTTGAGAGGTCAACAGGGGGCAGGTGGTCCTCTGAAATGACCATGTTTTCAGAATTCATTGATAGTCATTTTCTCGTTGACCTACCATTGGAAAGAGCAGCCTTTACTTGGTCTAATGGTTGGGATCCAGTTACTTTTTCCCGGTTGGATAGATTTCTGATTTCTGGGGCGTGGGAAGAGCATTTCCCGGATGTCTCTCAGGCTGTTCTGGTTAAAGTGACATCTGATCATGTGCCTTTAGTTCTTGATTGTGGTGGTTTGAGTTCTAGACGCACTCCTTTCCGCTTTGAAAATATGTGGCTAAGATCTGAGGACTTTCAAGGGAAGGTTCAGTCTTAGTAGGGGGAAGCGAGTTTCACAGGCTCTGCTAGTTATGTGTTGGCTAGAAAATTTCAGTTTCTTAAAACTGAGTTAAAGAGGTGGAATAAAGAAGTGTTTGGGAATCTTGAATGGAAAAAGAATAGAGTTTTTGCTGATATTGCTAAGCTCAATCGTCTTGATGAGGTGGGACAGAATGGGGAGTCATTACATTCTAAAAGAGCCTCTTGCCAAGCGGTTTTTGCTGAGATTGCTCTTATGGAGGAGATTTCGTGGCGCCAGAAGTCTCGGGCTTTGTGGTTAAAAGATGGGGATCGTAATACAAAATTCTTTCATAGACTTGCTAACACTCATAGAAGATGTAATCACATCGGGCGTATCCGGGTCAATGGTTCTGAGTTGTGGAGGGAGGATGAGGTGCGCGGGGGAATCGTTTCTTTTTATCAGCAGCTCTACACTGAGACTTTGGGTTGGAGACCTACTCTTGATGGTCTTCCTTTTAATTATATTTCTGCATTGGATAGTGATAGGATTGAGATTCCATTCATGGAGGAGGAAGTGCTTAAGGCACTTTCTAGTTGTAACGAGGACAAAGCTCTAGGGCCAGATGGGTTTACTATTCGATTTCTTAAGGAGAGTTGGGAGGTGGTGCGAGCTTAGGTGATGGGCACCTTTCAGGATTTTTATTCTCATGGCACATTTAAGAAATCACTGAACGCATCTTTTATTGCTCTCATTCCCAAGAAGGGCAGTGCCTCTGATATTAAGGACTTTTGGCCAATTAGCTTAATTGGATGTTTGTATAAGCTTATTGCCAAGGTTCTTGTCTCCAGGATGAGTAATGTTTTGGATGGTCTCATTTTAAAATCACAAAATGCTTTTGTTGGTAGAAGGCAGATTTTGGATTCTTTTCTTATCGCAGGGGAATGTGTTGACTCTATATTAAAAAGTGGGGTTCCCGGCGTTTTGTGTAAGCTTGATATCGAGAAAGCTTATGATCATGTTAATTGGAAGTTTGTTCTATATCTGCTTCGGAGGATGGGGTTTGGAGACAGGTGGATAAAATGGATTGAAACTTGTATCTCGTCAATTATGTTTTCTATGCTCGTGAATGGTTCACCTACGGGTTTTTTTGCTAGCTCGCGTGGTCTGAGAAAAGGAGACCCATTATCATCTTTTCTTTTCCTTATTGTCATGGAAGGTCTGAGCAGATTAATGAGAAAAACGGAAGATTTGGGTTACATCAGGGGGTGTGGGTTCAGAGTTGGCAAAGATGTTGAACATCAGATGCAGATCTCCCATTTGTTGTTCGCGGATGATACTTTGGTTTTTTGTGATGCCGAAGTTTCTCAATTCAGATATCTGAGGTGCATACTTGCTTGCTTCCAAGCGGTTTCTGGGCTAAAGATTAATGTTGGAAAGAGTGTGCTTGTTCCAGTGGGGCATGTTCCAGATATTTCCTCCTTAACTGCTGTCCTAGGGTGTGGAGTTGGTGTTTTTCCTCTTTCTTATTTAGGATTGCCTTTGGGAGTTTCTTCTACGCAAGTTGGGAATTGGGACCCAGTGATTAACAAATATGAGAAAAGATTAGCAGGATGGAAAAAACAATATCTATCTAAGGGGGGGAAAGTCACACTCATTAAGAGTACTCTCTCATCCCTTCCTACCTATTTTTTATCTTTGTTTCAAATTCCATGCTCTGTTGCTGAAAGGATTGAAAAAATTCAGAGGGACTTTCTTTGGAGTGGAAGGGGAGAGGAGTTTAAGTATCATCTTGTTAATTGGGATCAAGTCTGCCAACCATTGAGGTTAGGCGGGTTAGGCATTCGAAAAATCGTTCCTTTTAATCGTGCTCTCTTGGGAAAGTGGTTATGGAGATTTGGAAGGGAACGCCATCGTCAGTGGAGAAGAGTTGTCTCGTGTCGTTTTGGTGAGGAGAGTGGGGGTTGGTCCTCTCTCCCAGTCACTATTATAGGTGGCGTTGGTGTGTGGAAATTCATTCGGAAGGGCTGGGATGTTTTCTCCTCACACATTAGATTCAAAGTTCGTGATGACAGACATGTCCGTTTTTGGGAGGATCTTTGGTGCGGATATCAGTTGTTGTCTCACTCCTTTCCTAGACTTTTACAGTATTGCAGCCAATAAGCATGTCTACGTAATTGATTGTTATCAACTTGATAACAATGGAGTTACGTGGGACGTGCGTTTTAGGCGCCCCTTTCAGGATTGGGAAATGGAGGAAGCTTGTGTTTTTTTGGATACGTTGTATAGGCAAAAGGATATTGGCAGAGGGTGTGATGATATTTTGTGGGTTCCTTTTAGCTCATGGTAGGTATGGTGTCCGATCCATGTTCTTGTGTTTATCCAATTTCGATGGTCACGAGTTCCCTTGGAAGTCTGTTTGGCGTTCTCAAGCTCCTCTTCGAATCGCATTCTTCGTTTGGACTGCCACATTGGGAAAGATTATGACATTGGACAATTTGAGAAAGAGAGGCAACATCATTGTTAATTGGTGTTGTTTATGTAAAGCAGATAGTGAATCCGTGGATCGTATTCTTTTGCATTGTCTTGTGGCGTATGATTGTTGGAGTTTTATTTTTTGCAAGTTTGGCGTTTTTTGGCTAATGCCTAAGCAGCCCTCACAATTGATTAACGCTTGGAGAAGTTGTCCTATTAAAGAACGAGCTCGTGATTTTTGGAGGATTGGTCCACATTGTGTCTGGTGGTGTTTATGGCGTGAGAGAAATAACAAATCCTTTGAAGGAAAAGAATCTTCTTTACTTAATTTAAAAATTCATATTCTTCGTTCTTTGTTCTGTTATGTAAGAGGAAACGCTTGCTCCTCGATTGATGATTTTTTTTTATCTTGGATACTATTGGTCCTTAGATCTTTTTTCTTCTTGTATTAGTATAGTAAGATTGAGCAACATAACTTGCTGGAAAAAGTTAGGAGTGAAGCACCTGATAATATATATTTAAGGATTGAAAAACAAATATTATTAATGTCAATATAATATAAAATTGAGAATAATGACTACATTTAAATAAATTTATGTCATTAATTTTATTTATGCATAATCAAAACTATACAAATATTATTTCAGCACACGCATGCACAGAATATTACAAATTTACAGATAAGTTTAACTTAATCACTATTACGTACAGCATTCTTAGCAACATGGTTGTTAAGATCTTATAATTCGGTTCAATCCGACCCCTCTTTGATGAAAAGATGAATCACTATATATCAAGTTTGTTAGGATCGGGATTCTACATAGGATCGTTGAGAGGTCCATAGGATCGGAATCGTAGGATCAGATTGAGAATTGTTCTATAAAATTATTAGAAATGTAACTCAAACTAACTTTCTAAATCAAATATTTTCGATATAAGAAGAGAATAAGGCTAAATAACCAAATGAGACACTCTATCAAAATCAATTAACATTAAAAGATACTAAGACACATGACAAACACTTAAATCAATTTTTTGATTTCAACATAAATTTAGCATAACAATCAAGTAAAATCTCAGAGAAGAAATTAAAGTAAAAGCCTAAACAAATAGAAAAAGGGAACAGAGGAGTAGAGAGAAAAAAGTACAATTTAGTTGCCTAATTGTCTGAGCAATTTAGTTGAAAATTTTACTTTTTGGCTAAAAATAAAGGAATAAAACAGAGATAGAAAGAAGAACAGTAAAATAATGAAGTCTCTCTTTGACGGAAAAATAATGAAGTCTCTTTTCGTTTTCGTTTCAGAATCTGAAAAAATAAAATTCTTTTTGTTCCTTGAACTGAATTTCCTTGCACTGAAATTCAGAGTTTGACGTTCGGTTCTATGTTTTTTGTTTTTTATTTGTAACTTTTTAATGTAATTTAGGCTAAAGAGTTGGACTTTATATTTAAAATGATTAAATTTATTAGTCCAAAATTAATTGTAGGCCGATATAAATCTGAAAGAGGAACAAAATAACACCATTTAGTAGAATCGGTAGGATCATAAGATCCTATGCGATTGTACGATCCTAATCCCGATTCGACAGATCCTACTAAGATTCTACTTCCCAAATATTTTGGACGGAATCTGAATCAGAATCGGTTTGGCAATTTGGGATCATAGAATCGTAAGATTCTAAGATTCAGAATCGGGTTTTAACAAGTATGCTATATCTATGTACTTTCCCAAACCCTCTGGTGTTTAATATAATAGCTCACAACTACTAACAGTTGGGTAACTTTTATGAAAAAGGCAAAAAGAAAAAATCGAACAAAATGCAACTCAAGTAAAAAAGTGAATATGGCACACAATCACATCACTGAATAAGTAATACAGTACTATATCCCACATTATTGTAATATATTTTTGAATTCTAATATTCTACATATACCATGTCCTATATATTTCACAAATTGTAAACATATCCTTTGATTCAGGGTACAGTACAATTTGGGACTTCGAAAAAGTAGGATATTTGATTCACAAGGAACTTTGTCATTGTTTTTCTTTTTCTTTTTCTTTTTTTCTTTTTTTTCAGTATCAACCATATTTTGAAGCTAAAATAATATTAATATTTATCTTGGAAGCCCAACCCAAAAACCAGCTAACCATTCAATGATGCCAGTAAGGCAAGGTTAATCTCTCTAATACATTTAAACTAATGGTAGAATTGATCCTTGTATAGAGAAATTAGAAAGGAAAATTCCTCTTCCTGGGCTATGTGGGACTTCAAAACAAGTGATGTTACTATGTGAATATGAAACAGCGAATGTTATTTGTTTACACCATAACTATTGGCCATTTCCAGTTGGAAAGGTTGTCGTGGCCAATTCCAATGTAAGGGTGACCTTTTCCAATTGGAAGGGTGATACGCAAATAAGAAGGTAATCAGAGAAAGCCATTTGGTACAAGTAACTGCATAGGGAAATGTGTCGGCTAAAGAGGCAAGCAGTTACCTGCAAGTTGGGAAGTGTCTGATGAATGGGACACGTGGCAGGCAGAGAAGGAAACAGTTATCTATAGTTGGAAAGTCCCCGTTGAATGGGACACGTGGAAACCAAAGAAGGAAGCAGTTACCTGCAGTTGGAAGGACGTGACTTTTCAAGTGGACACATGGCAAGTAAAGAATGAAGCAATTATCTATACAATTAGAAAGTGTCTGTTGAATGAGACACATGGCAGGTAGAGAAGGAAGCAGTTTTATACAGTTGGAGGCAGTTACTTGCAGTTGGACAGTCGTGGTCCATTCTGGCAGTTCCAGAACGTGGTTAGAAGCCTTCAATTGGTTTTTGAACCACCAAACCCACTCCTCCAAAACTGAAATTAATGGGAGATGATGTATTTACACATGTCAGCATTATGAAAAGACTAAAGGAGACATGGAATGGCACAAATCAGACGTAGGACCGTTGTTTCCTCACGTTTATGTGCATAGCTAATCGATGGAAACTTCACCACTTTCCAGATATAGTCTGATAGAAACGTAGGACCGTTGTCCAAGGCTCTATGTCAAACTGCACGCGGGGGGGGGGGGGGGGGGGGGGGGGGCGGGTGTTTCAATAGGTCTTACAGATTAATTCCGATTAATTATATTTGATGTTTGATTATTAAAGAGGATTCAATTCTCAACCTGAATCAAACAAATCATCAATAAGCAATAAAAGCATAAATAAAGCAAAGCAAAGAAGAGTAGGACACAATAAAAGCATAAATAAAGCTCAGATCAGCTTGGTTCATTTGCAGCCTACCAGACAATTAAAACTAAATATAACATTTAGTTATCAAAAAAAAATTAAAACTAAATAGAACATTGTATATTTTTTGGTAAGTTAAATAGAACATTGTATATACACCTCAAGATGAAAGAGAAAAATCACAATAATATAATCCTAGGCCTTCTATACATAAGAATTGTGAATTACTATTAAAAAAATAGTATGTTTTTCAAGGACCTCGAATTGTATATATTGCACTACAAACAATTTGGAACTAGCAAACAAACAAGCAATAAAATTCCCAAATATTTTGCATTCTAGATAAACAAAGTTAGCATGTTAGAAAATCTGAATTCAACAAAGCATTATCCAATAAAAGAAAAAAATTATCTGACAGGGTTACCTGAAATATGTGAGAGCAAAAACATCAACCAGTAGTTACATTTCCAATTCTCTTAAGGTCAAAGATTTCAATCCAATAGCCATCAGGATCCTTAATGAATGCTATCCCTTTCATCTTCCCTGCAATCAGATTGGCATATTTTATGCAAGCAACCAGAAAACTTTTATATGGTAAAGAGCTTAATTTTAATTATTAAAAAAAATACCAACTACCATTTTCCAAAACAGATATCAGAAAATAAGTGGATAAATTACACAAAATGTATGCAAATCGAATTTTTCCCTAACATAACATGCAAAAGTCCACCTTACCAAATAAATCAAACTAAAGTTATGGCAGAACTCATAATAAAAGTTATTGATTCAGTATAAGAGCATGTTTGGGATTGCTTTTCAACAACTTAAAAGCGCTTTTCATTTAAAGGTATTTAGATGTGTTTGGTGATGAAAAAAGGTGCTTTTAGAGAGTAATTTAATAAAAAATAACAAAATAAAAAGGTGCTTTTTCATGAAGCTAAAAATTGGAGCTTTTAAAATTGTGTTCTGGGTAAATGCCTAACATGTTTCTTTTACTGACCACAGTTTTATGACGGCTCTACTGATTAAAGCGCTTTCACCGTTACAACAACAACGCCAAAAAAATACAATGACATCCTAAAGTATCGGTAATTTTTCTAGTTTTAATGGAATAATACAACATTAGCCATTAGGTTGTCGTCGTTGAAGCTTTGGAAGCTCAAAAATCAAAACTGAACTCCAAACGACATCGACCATCCTCTCTCCATCAACACCACACTACACCCCTGAAATAATAATAATAATAATAATAATAGGGTAAAGTGCAAAAAACACCCCTAATATTTACTCTCTCCCATGAAACCCCCCTGAACTTATATTTTTGCAGTTAACCCCCTGAACTATCCAATTTGTTTTCAAAAAGCACCAAAACGTTAAATTACAGTTCGAATTCTAACGAGTGAGGAGGCAAAATTACAAAAAGACAAAAATGCCCCGAATGACCATTAACAACAATTATATGTATATATGTATATATATATATATATATACATATATATATATATATATACATATATATATATATAACGTAGCGGAAACAATAAAGAACAGGGTTAAACCCTGGATTTCACAAAGAACACACTCACAAGAGAGAAATTGAAATTATATTAATAATAATGATGTTTGTAGACTCACATCTCTTGCCTTTATATACGCAAGTCAAAAATAAAATAAAAAAAAAGAAAACATGTGTAAAATAATATTAAAGGGGAAATCTGAGATTTGATGGAGCATAATCCTCCTTAAATCTTGTAATGGAGAATAATATCTTCTATTGTTGGCAACTACACCAAAATTTTCTTATTTATTTTCTAAATTCTCCTTGATTCTTGCCATGGAGAATAATATCTTCTATTGTTGGCAACAACACCAAATCTCCTTTTGACTTTTCCTTATTTATTTATTTTTTTCTTCTATTCTCCTTACCTTTTCAGCCTCCCTGATTTGCGATGATCTTGTATGCTCAGATAATCGTGAGCAAGCTATTCTACATCAATCTCCCCTGCGTAAAAAGAACTCATCCCCGAGTTACCCGAATCTGGCGGATACTATTCATGTATGTCAGCCACATTGAAGGTAGAAGAAATGGCCATGTCAGCAGGTAAATCAATCATATAGGCATTGTCATTTATTTTCTTTAGAATCTAGTGCGGACCCTTTTTTCTTGGCCTTCAGCTTGTTGTATGTTCCCACTAGAAACCTCTCTTTTCTTAGATACACCATAACCAGGTCCCCTTCTTCAAATACTCTTTTCCTTCGTCTCTTGTCAACTGCAGCCTTGTATTTGGCGTAAGTTTCCTCTAGATGTTTCTTGACACTCCTGAATAGTCTTAATGTGCTCAGCCATTTTCTCTACAGCAACACTCTTTCCCGGCAACTTCGGTAAGGATACTAAATCCAAAGCAACTTTCAGAGGATGGCAATACACAACCGCAAACGGGATTTGCTAGTGGACCTGTTAACCATGCAATTGTAAGCAAATTCTACCTGAGCAAGAGCAAGATACCACTTTTTTGGTTTCTCTCCTGAAATAAAGCGAATTAGATTTCCAAGGGTCCTATTCGCCACCTCTGTTTGGCCACCAATCTGGGGGTGACTAGTGCTACTGAAATTAAAAGAGCTATCGAATCTCTTCCACAAAGTCCGCCAAAAGTGAAACAAGAACTTGGTGTCACGATCTGAGATAATGGACTGTGGAACCCCATTTAAATGAACCACCTCTTTAAAGAACAGATTGGCAATTTGGACTGCATCGTTCGTCTTCTTGCATGCAATAAAATGGGACATCTTGGAAAATCGACCACCACAAAAAACAGAGTTTGCTCCTCGCTGCGTCCTCGACAACCCTAGAACAAAATCCATGGATAAATCCTCCCATAGAGCATCTGGAATAGGCAGCGGTGTGTAAAGACTAGTATTCTGAGATTGGCCTTTATTAGTTTGGCAAGTTGAGCACTGCCACACATGGTTCTCCACGTCACGCTTGAATTGCGGCAAATAAGACAGTTCTTTTACCAGCTCTCACGTCTTATCACTCCCCAAATGTCCTCCTAATCCTCCTCCATGCAATTCATGAACCACTTGCTCCTACAAAGAACTACGTGGAATACACAACTGATTACCATTAAAGAGAAATCCTTCAAACACGTGCAACCCTTTAAAGGATTGGCTCGTTTTACACACTGCCAGGCTTGGCCAAAATCTTCGTCGGCCTCATATAACTCCTTCAGACACTCAAACCCTGTGATTTCATCCCTCATAGTCACTAAGAAAGCTGCTCTCCGACTAAGTGCATCTTCAACTTTGTTCTGTTGGCCTGACTTATGTTTTAGCGAGAAGGTGAATCGTTGGATATAAGCCGCCCATCGCGCGTGCATCCGATTAACACTGTTTTGACTGTTAATGGATTTCGGTGCCTGGTGATCTGTAAACAACATGAACTCACATTGGATAAGATATTGCTCCCACGTATACAAAGCTTGCACCACCGCATAGAATTCCAACTCATAGGTAGTCCACTTCTTACGTGCTTCACTCAGCTTCTCACTGTAAAACGCTACTGGTCTTGTGATAAAACTGCTCCGATTCCCACTGTTGAGGCATCACAATCCACCTGGAATAGCTTCTCAAAATCTGGAAGGACTAAGATTGGGGTTGTTGACAGTTTTTCCTTGATCAAGGCAAAACTCATCTCAGCTTCCTCTACCCATTGGAATTTTTCTCTCTTCATGCATTCTGTGATGGGACCCACAATACTACTGAAGTTCTTGATGAACCTTTGGTAGAACATGTCTAAGCCATGGAAAATGCGTACTTCTCCCACATTCTTCGGCATAGGCCACTCTCGAATGGCCCTCACCTTCTCCTTATTTAACCGAATGCCATCACTACAAACCACATAGCCGAGGAATACTAGGTTTGGGGTCATAAAACTACACTTCTTCAGATTAATGAACACCTTATTCTTTAGCAAAGCTGTTAATACCTCTCTTAAGTGCAAAAGGTATTATGCCTCTGTTTGACAATAAACCAGAATATCGTTGAAATAAACAACCACAAATCGACCAATAAATAGTTTGAGTACCCAATTCATCAACCGCATGAAAGTACTTAGCGTGTTGGATAATCTAAATGGCATGACTAACCACTCATACAGTCATCTTGAACGCCGTTTTCCACTCATCCCCAGGGCGGATTCTAATCTGACGGTATCCACTCTTGAGGTCCACTTTGGTGAAGACTTTCGATCTCGCCAACATATCCAGCATATCATCCAACCGTGGAATGGAAATTTTGTACTCGACAGTGATTTTGTTAATTGGGTGACTATCAACGTACATTCTCCAACTGCCATCTTTTTTCAGTACTAGCAAGGCCGAAACAACACATGGGCTCATGCTCTCCCGAATCAACCCTTTCTGTAGTAACTCTTCCACTTGCTCTTGTAAGATCGGACTCTCAGTGGGACTCATCCGGTAATGTGGTAGATTTGGCAGACTCACCCCAGGTACTAAGTCAATGTTGTGCTGAATGTCCCTCATGGGAGGGAGACTATCAGGCAAGTCTTCCGGCACCAACTCACTAAATTCCTGCAGTAACGGATGCACTATTGCTGGTACTGTAAAAGGAGGTTGTTCAACTACTTCCCCCTTGCTCATAACAGCAAAGATTTCAAGGACAGTTGTTACTGCGCCGAGAAATTCCTCACTGTTGATCAACATAACTAAATTTCCTTTGGGAAATTCGGCTTCTTTCAGTGGACCCAAAACAATCTTCTGACCATTCTTGTATAGAATATACACATTGTCTCTACCACGGTGAGTGACATCGACATCAAATTGTCATGGTCTGCCCAATATCATACGGCATGCATCCATGTCGACTACATCACAACGCACCTCCTCTGCATATGCTTTCCCAATTGAGAATGGAGTGGTGTAGGTTTCAGTTACTCGTGTCTCTGAGCGTTTCTTGATCCATCCAATTTTGTATGGATAGAGATGTTTCTCTGTTTTAAGCCCCAATTTTCGAACCATTGTTAAGGAAACAATGTTCTCACTACTGCCGCTATCAATAATAACGTCACATACCTTATGGTTAACAGTGCAACGTGTACGGAACACATTATGACGTTGCGGGTGCTCCTCCTCCTTTGGCGTGAACATCAACCTCCTCACGACTAAAGAGTGGGACTACAACTCGCCATTGTCTCCTTCAGTCCCCTCTTCTTCTGCAAAGGTAAGGAACTCACCTTCCTTACCCTCGCCTTCCTCATGCTCGACCAGATTTACTATCGGTCGTTTAGGGCAATTGTTGGATTTATGGCCAGGTTCTCCACATTGAAAACATTTGCCCATACTTGGGTGTGCATAGGGATTTTCTCTCACAGTTGGGGTCCCTTCCCAGTAGTGCCTATGGGTGCTGCGGGTTTGGCCTTTGTTGGACCATCTCCAATGCCTCACCATGTCATTGGAACAGGGGGCTACTGTGGTCTTTTTACCCATGCCATGTGTAGGAAGTGGGGTATTATATGAACCACGAGACCGATTCTTCGACTTCTCCAATAACGCTTCTGCTCTCTCTGCCGCCGTGGCAATCTCAGACAGTTTGAATAGCGGTTGCAGCGCCACTCTCTCTTCAATATACCATCATAACCCGCCTTTGAAACTGGCCATCATGCTAAATTCGGGTTCCACCAGGTTGTTTTGGCTCAAGGATTAGGCAAAGTTTTTTCATGCTCAAAAAGGTGGGGTTTACAGAGAGATTGAAGGTGGAGATTGTGGATTAGGGATTACTGATCAAACATGCTCATCATCTTTTAAATCAGAATGCTCACCATCTAAAGAGATAGGATAGGGATGCTCACCGTTGGCAACTGCAATTTGGAGATTAGGGTTTGCAGAGAGATTAGAGGTGGAGATTAGTGTTTGCAATTAACTGCTGCTTTGGATGCTAAAATGGGTAAGGCATGCGTGTCATGTGATTTGGCCCCAATAGGGTAAGATGGCATGAGTTGGCAAAATGTAATTGGATGTGAAGATTACTTTTATCCACCTCACCAATTTAATCATGAGAAGTATAAAACGACCTAGTTTTAATTAAGGGCAAAATAGACAATTTGTTTTGCAGTTAACCGCTGTTTGATGTTTTGTCCTTAAATGCACATTGTTTATAGTTTAGGGAGGCAGATCTTAGTATAAGGGGGTTTTGTGAAATTCCCCGATAGTTCAGGAGGGTTTTATGCACTTTACCCTAAATAATAAAACACTAGAAACCAAGACCACTAAGCAAAAGGAATCAAATAACTTTCCATATTTAAGTCCACTTGATGCATGATTTTGGATCTTTCATCCAGGAAACATCATTGCCCCACATATGCAAGCATGCCAGTGCACAAAGGGAGGGTGGAGGCCAACTACAAACATAAAATAGTAGTCTTAAATGGTATATGAGTAGTCTGCATTAAATGGTGTATGAGTAGTCTGCATTCTCCACCTTCCCACAACGAACTTGGAACAAATTACTCATATTTTGCTCCAATGACTACTTCAATGTTGGCCTAGATTATCAAAGCCCATTCTATCTTTTACAAGAACTAATTATAGAATAGCAGTTTTCAAATCCCTCCATCCTCAAAATTTGACAGTGTGATGAGAGAACCTAAATAAGTAATGACCAAAGCAGTGCTGAAGCAATTTGGGATGAAGCACCGATTGATTTCAAGACAGGGACGCTTGCATAGGATGATAAATCATATGCTAAAGTAATGCATCCAAGAAAACTGTCACGAAGAAGTTTAAAATCTATCATCATACTGTTGCCAGATAGATTAAATAAAAACCAGCATACATTTCAAAAACCAAAATCAAATCAATTTTAAAGGGAGTTAAATTACCATCATCAGGTTTTTTCACAAATTCCACTCCCAAACGTTCAAATCTGTCACATGCCTTGTAAGTATCATCAACGGTAATGCCTATGTGTCCTGAAAGCAAATTCGACCAGTTAATCAAGTGAAATATTGGATGAGAACCAGCATGCATCTCAATAAGCAAAATCAACTAAAGAAAGAGAAACATCCCCATGTCTATATAACATGAAGAGTCAGACACCAGTGATGTGTATTAAGTCCTATTTACGAGAGGCAACAAGTCAACTACATAAATGATCAGTTACAGCTTCCTTAAGTTTTAGAGACTCGAGTAAAACTTCATCACATCTGCAACAAACATGCACTATGCATTTGTGGATAACAAATCTTATAAATCTCTGAATGAAGCGAAATGAGATCCAGTTCTACATTGGAGACCACTTTCTAGGTAATAGACATATAGTACATCTGATAAAATAAGGGATTATTACCCAGTATGATTCCCGTTAATCAAGCGTATTGGGGTTGACAGATTGGAGACAAACCTAACCTTTGACATTGTTTGCACAAAGTGACTGCCCTAAAGATTCGAATCTGCATCCTCATGCTTGACAGCCTGAGCATTTTACCATTGTACTAGGCAATAGCCCCGATCAAATAAAGACCTAGTCAAAATTGAGAAATTCTATGGCTCTGATAATATTACTCATCTCATATCATATTATAGAAATATTTGCAATATCAGAAGAAATTGATGCCACAATAATGGTTATAAATCATCTTTTCTACTTTAAGAAGCTCTTTCTAGGACATAGACATGTAGGGTTCATCCATAGTATGCAAATAACAAATACTTTGCAAAAGATCAATGCCAAATCAATGGTCTTAAAAGCATACCACAATTGACACATATATTGGCAGAAAACAATAGTAAGTGTTTGCCACAAAATCAAGCTAACTATAGAGGTGGACAAACATAAATCATAAACGCAGTTACATACCAAAGCCGCGAGGTTCAGAGTTCCCATTGTGGTAACCTTTGAAATCAGGATCACTTTCAGTACCCCAATTACTGAAAGAAGTAACTGACAGTTAGACATGATCAAGGAACCTGTGAAGAATACAAAATTGAATTTGAAAAAGATAAAATACAGGTGTAACATGACAGTTCATACTGTGTGAGTTCAATTGTAGCCTTCCGACCAAAGGTCCAAACAGTACGATCAACTGAATTGCTTGGAGCTGACGCTGGATCCTAAACCACACACACACAAAAAGAGAGAGGGAGAAATCAACAACATTTTAGTAAGAAGAAAACAAAACCACTTATGTTTTTCACCACCCTTTTTTTTTAATTCTTTTAGATTCGTCAGAATACATGGCTTACTTGGAATTGCATGAAGAAGAATAACTTCTGTTGAAACCAAATTATTAAAATTAGTATTGATAAAAATATATATATCTTGCAAAATAGATGTTTAATGTTCTACCTCATAGCCCATGAAGTACAAGCTAAACTTCATCTCTGGAAAATCCAACCTTTTAAGTAACCTAGTAAGATACAAGGAAAAAGCTACATCAAAATATAAACTCAGAGAATCTGATAATAACTGAATGTAGTAGATAGATGGCGATTTAATCTATCAACAATGACCCAAATCTATATAAAAAATAAAAAATTATAAGATTGGGGGGGAGGCCAAGAGTACAAGGGAGATTATAATCAACAAACCCTAAAAGAAATCAGAAATAGAAGAAAGAAAAATTCAAGCCATTTTGAGTCAAGTAAATTCCTATCATAAAGGAAAGAGAATCTGATGGTGAACGGGATATGATTCCAATACATGATTTGCACATGCTTCAACATTACTTTTGGAGAAGAGGGAAAGAGAAATACAATTGGGGATTTTAGTGATTTAGGGTTTTATTTATGCTTATTGTTATTTTGATAATGTTTGAATTTTAGGGCTATTTTGGTATTTTTATGTTTTAGGGTTTGCTTAATAATTTGCCTATTTAAAGGCTCCTTCGTAATTTGAGAACTCAGTTTTTTGAGAAATTGAATATTATCATTGAGTTTGCGAACTCCCTTTGTGTCTCTTCTCCCTCTTGTTCTTGTTGTTCTTAATACCTCCGTCTATCTATCATACCTCCTTCAATCTGATTCTCATCCCAATTCGTCTGTCTTCTCACCTCCTTCGTCTAGCCTTATCTTATCTTTTCATTCTCTTCCCCTTCTTTCTTTCTAGTTACTATAAGTTACTACTTGTCCTGCGTCACAATCCCTATATGTTTTAAATACAAGAAGCCTCGAAGGAGAAGAGGGGAGAGACAGAGTATTAGGGCGAATATAATCAACAAAGGTTACAATAACTCAGAAAAAGAAGAAAGAAAAATCCAAGCAATTTTGAGTCAGGTAAGTTCCTCTCATAAAAATGCAGGAAGATCCCTCTTGTGTAACTTCCGAAAAAAAAAAAAAAAGATCCCTCTTGTGTGCGTAACCTGCAAGATGCTTCTAAGGCCCAAGCCTTGATTTGGGTTCATGGGGTTGGGACATCTTTTGGATATTGTGGATAGCTTAAAGATAATCTTTTGGATATTGTGGATAGGTTAAAGCTATAGTGGTCGCCTTTGGCATCTTGTGTATTCTTTTGGGAGCGCTCCCCTCTTAAGCGCCTATATGAAATCTTACTTATCACAAAAAAAAAATTCAGATCGAATTTTGCTTCTTTTAAGATTTTCTTGACCCATAGGTAATGCGAAGATTTTCTCACATTCTGTGTATATAGCAATACAATCCTTTCACTCCAAATAGGAAATTTCCATAAGCAAAAAAATTTTGGACATAGGCTGAAACATGGGCAGTAGGTAAGGTTGAAACATGGGCTGTGGGTAAGGTAAAGATTTCTCAAGTTCTGTATGTAGCAATATATTTCTTCAATTTTAATTTTTTTTTACAAGTGTGTAAAAGAAGCGTTCAAAAGGGAAACGCATCCCTTAGAAGATACCAAGGCCTAATAGGGCATCTAAACTCTTAGGGAATCCAAAAAATCAACTATTTCCTCCATGGAATTACAATTTCTCCCTAGAGCCCAACAAAAAAGAGTGCTAATAATGGAGAACTTCAACGCCCCAATAGGATTCTCATTTCCTTCCAAGGATCTCCTATTTCTTTCAAGCCATAAACACCACTAGACGCACAAAGGCGCAACCCGCCAGAAATCACAAACTTGGGCCCGCACTATACAACCTCTCCAAGCCTCAACCAAGATTCTGGAGGACATGGGCATAACCCACTGAACCCCAAAAAAACCCGACAACAAAACCCAACAATCTCGAGCCATTGGACAATGCAAAAGAAGGCGGTCAACCATTTTCTCATCTCTCTTACACATGCAACAACAGTTCACCACCACTTGTCTCCTCCTCCTCAAGTTATCTTGAGTTAAGATCTTTCCCAACATAAATGACCACACAAAAAAAAGCCACTTCGAGAGGGGCCTTAGAGCGCCAAATAGCCTTCCAAGGGAAAGGATGCCCTAGAACATTAGAAAGACCGGACATCAAAGCGACCCTAGGAAGAATGAACCCACTATCAGAGGTATCAGAGGAGGTGCTCTGCATACCAAAATTAGATGATTTGATGAGTTGTAAGATAGCTTATGATTAGGGATTCCATTCCAATTTAAATGATTTACAGATTGCTTGTAGTTAGGAATATTATTTGTGGATACCCAAAATCTTGGGAGATGATTGTTGTAAGCATTCCTTGTATAGAATAGTAAATATTATTATATGAAGGAAGTCTCCCGAAGGGAAAGGCAGACAAGTTTTCTCCCGAAATTCTCTTTGTTCTCTTCGTCTTGTCAAGGTATTAGAGCCTAGCTTGATACAAAAGGCGTTCTAGGTTTCTTTTGATAAGATACATCACAGTTTTTTGTTAAAAACTATGGTGTCTTGTTTCTAAGGAGTTGCAGCATTTTGGTAACAATCTTTGTTTTGAGTTGCAGTCAAGAATTGCAGTTAGTATCATCTCAGGTTCTCATTCATCTTTTCTCTTTTGTTTGAGTCTCTTTTGAAGTTTTTTTTTAGAATGTCAGAAAAGTCAGAATTAGAAATCTTGCCCATTAAATTGAATGGGAAGAATTATTTTTCTTAGGAGTTTCAATTCCGTATGTTTGTTATAGGGAAAGAATTGTGGGGACATGTAGATGGATCAATCCCAGAACCAAAAGCTGGGACTGAAAATGCTAGCATAGCAAAATGGGAGTCCAATGATGCCAAGATAATTAGTTGGATTTTAAGCTCAGTAGATTCTAATATTATACTCAATTTGCAGCCTTATTCCAATGCTAAAGATATGTGGGGTTATCTAAAAAAGGTTTACAATCAAGAAAACTCTGGGAGGTGTTTTCAGCTTGAATTGGACATATCTGAATATTCCCAAGGGAATATGTCAATTCAAGACTATTATTCATTCTGGATTCATGAATAAAGTCTCATTTTCTACAACTGGATGTATTGTGCTGGATCAGGAGTCGGGGAAAGTGATCGGGAAGGGACCTAAATGTGGAAGGTTGTTTCCTCGCTTGTTTAGCTATCCCAGGAATAAATCTTTATTTTCGTTATTTTGTCCTTCTAGTACGTCATATCAGTTGTGGCAAAAACGATTGGGGCATCCGAATGCCAAAAGATTGTTGTTGTTGAAATCTGGTTTGTTTTCTAATAAAGACCCTGTTTCTTTCGATGATATCTCATTTGATTGTAGTAGTTCTAAATTGGGTAAAAGTAAGACTCTTCCTTTTCCAATTCATGGTCACATTACTACAAAATGCTTCGATATGATTCATAATAATGTTTGGGGGGATGCTCCATTTCCCTCTCATTCTCGTCACAAATATTTTGTTTCCTTCATCAACGATTATAGTCAACACACATGGATTTATTTTTTGCATTCTAAATCTGGAATTTTTTATGCATTTTAAGTATTTTTAAGCTTACCTAAAAAATCAATTTTCCACATCCATCAAAATTCTTCGTTCCGATTCCAGAGGCGAATATATGAAAAAAGAATTTCAAAATTATCTTCAAAATGAAGGAATCATTTCCCAGCGAACTTCGTGCCCAGTCCCTAACGCAGGAGGAGTTGGCGTGTGGAAATTTATTCGGAAAGGCTGGGATGTCTTCTCCTCTCATATTAGATTCAAAGTTCGGGATGGTAGATGTGTTCGGTTTTGGGAGGATTTATGGTGCGGAGACCAGCCGTTGTCTTGCTCTTTTCCCAGACTTTTTAGAATCGCTAATGATAGACATGCCTTTGTAGTTGATTGCTATCGGCTTGATAGCAGTGGGATTACGTGGGATGTGCGCTTTAGGCGTTCTTTTCAGGATTGGGAGATGGATGAGGATTGCGCTCTTCTGGATATGTTGTATCAACAGGAGGTAGGTGGCATAGGTGATGATGTTCTTCTGTGGGTTCCCTCTTCCCACGGAGAATTCGAGGTCTGATCCATGTTTCTATGTCTTTCCAACTTTGCTGGTTTTGATTTCCCTTGGAAAACTATTTGGTGCTCTAAGGCTCCCCTTAGGGTGGCATTCTTTGTTTGGACTGCCGTTTGGGGTAAGATCTTGACATTAGATAACCTGAGGAAGAGAGGCATTATTATTGTCAACCGGTGCTGCCTATGCAAAAACGATGGTGAGTCTACCGATCATCTACTCTTACACTGCCCTGTGGTTCATGATTATTGGAATCTTATCTTCGGATTGTTCGGCATTTCTTGGGTGATGCCCCTGTCCACAAGGGGCATGATTCAAGCGTGGAGGGGATGTTATGTGGGGAGTCATGCTCGTGATTGTTGGAGGACCGTTCCACATTGCGTATGGTGGTGCATATGGAAAGAGAGGAATAACAGGCGTTTTGAAGGAATGGAGGCGTTTACAGCAACTTTGAAACTTCATATCATTCGTTCCATTTTCAGTTAAGCGAAGGGGAGACACTATTCTTCTTCTAACGATGTTGTTGATCTCTTAGACTCATTGGGTCCATAGGTTCTTATTTTGTTTTTGTACACGGGACGCGTTCCCCTTTTGAATGCTTTTTCAATTGTTTTTTCCTTATCAAAAAAAAAAAAATCCCAGCAAACTTGTCCATCTACTCCTCAACAAAATGGAGTAGCCGAGAGGAAAAATAGGCATCTTTTGGATATTACTCGGACCCCTACTTCTTAATGCATCAGTACCCTCTCATGGGGTGGAAGCACTTTCCACAGCTGCGCATCTTATCAATAGATTGCCTTCTCCAAAGCTTCAGCATCAATCTCCATATTTTCGCTTGCATCAAGCTCATCCGAACTATAACCAACTGCGTGTTTTTGGTTGTGTTGGTTATGTCCATCTACATGTACAAGATCGAAACAAATTATCTGCACAATCTGCTCGTTGTGCATTTCTTGGGTATGCATCTCATCAAAAAGGTTTTTTATGTTTTGATCCTTCTGTCTGTCGCATCCGTGCCTCTCATAATGTTGTCTTTGTTGAAAAATAGTATT